GAAATCATAACGTTAAATTCTTCTGCTTATCACAAAAAATGCTAATCAATTTCAAACTTAATATAAGTCAGTTGGGGAGAAATGGATATATGAAGAAAATGCAAGTAGATACGCCGAACTTATTAGACCAAAAGTTCCTTTTTATAACAAACGCATTGAAAGTATTATATACTTATTTACTATGCAGTTGAATTATATTTTTGTGCATCTTATTGTATCTAAATAAGCTTTTGAAAAAGAAAAATACGCTTTTTCATCAAAGAGGTCGCCGCGATCGTCGTCGTTCGCGGCGAGATGAAGGTGAAGATCTCCCGATATCCAGCAAATGAATCGGATAGGAAATCTCCCAAAGAAAAGCCGTCTTTCTCCTTCTCCAAATATAGCATGACCGCTACGTTTACGCAGATGCGGAGTTATTGGATTGTGCGCCGTGTCAGAGCTTGGGTCGCCGACGACGAGGCTATCATCGTCAGGTTGCTCTAACGGATATCGGGACCGCCTAAAGACCAATCAACGGATAAAAGAATGAATGCACCGGGTGGAGCTCTTCGAGACACCCAAGAACCCTAAAAACAGGTCAAAGTCCAAGCGGATGATCCTTGAACCGTTCGTCATTACCCCGTGTCTCCACCTGCCAACAACGACCCCAACAACGTGGAAAGCTCAGAGATCGACGAAGCGAACGAACAACTGACCAACACGTATGCCACAATTGTTGAGTTAAACGGGCAGCAGTGAAACAACAGCCTTGACTACTCGAACTTCGTAAAAGTAAAAGCGGAGCCATCGAGTCTTGACTTGTACGCATCCAATGACGTTAAATATTTTATTTCTTTTAATGGCCAAGTCCTTGGAGGACGTGTCATTCAGCGTACGGAGAGTGGATAATCACATGAAAGAGAAGCCTTCGCTGATAATAATGAGAGTTAACGTATGTAATAAGAACGGTAAAAGTGCAAACGCTCAAAGAGACAATTACAAAACCGTAAAAATGGGAGAACGGAGCAAGATTTATTGCTCGTTACGTTACACCTCATGACTTAGCCTCCTCTAACTGCTAACTCAGCACAACAATATATAATTATTTCCTTAAGTCCACGGTACTTATTCGTTATTTATACACTTTAAGGGTACGCATTATAACAAAAACAAAAGCAAAAAAAAACCTAAAAAAAAAAGAGAGATGTAGAAGAAATTCGAAAGTTTTATTAAGAATATGTAATAGAGGATAATACATCTTGGTTAGAATTACAAGAGCATAAACTGTTTGTAATAACGAATGTCAAGACTCGACTACTAAAAAAACATAAATATATCAAACACCTTTTCTACTCTTAGTTACTGTGTGAGTTTTTCTTAATGTAATGGGCGTTTAGTAATGACGATCATCACACTATTAACACTAATGAGGCCTATCTATAGTAATTCTATAGTAATTCCTTCTCTGTATTATACTACATCTCGATATGTACTTACGAACGCGGCAAAAGATCTCGTTCTTTTAATTATTAAATATCGGCTTTTTCAAGTTTCCATAACTCGCCACAGAATAATCATAAAAGTGCGAATATATAAATGTACTATTAAGAAAAACCTATGGCTAATCACAGTCTCTGAAATATGATAAAAATTTCAGTCGCGACTACAATTTTTGACAATTTCAGATGACTAGCCCTCGATACTAAAATAAAAATATCTCCGAAACTATTACATATATTTCTTTATTTTTAGCCGCATTGAAAATCAAAGCCCCAAAAGGTTATAAAAAATATTGTTAGAGACATCAAAGCCTAGCGTAACGCAGATAGATAGACGCACGCGCGCACACATACACGCATATAAACACACGCGCACACGCGCACACACGCGCATACAGACATACAGACATACAGACAGACAGACAGACAGATAGACAGATATATAAAATATATAAGATACATCCGATCTTAACTAATGTACTATAGAAACCAATAAACTCTTTCGCTCTCAACTTTTCTCGCTCTAAGCATTGGGCATGTTGTTCGCTTATTCCCTAGTCTGCTTCTCTCTTGCGCTTTTAAACATGGCACTTCTTTCTCTCTTGTCCTCTCGTGTTTTCCTTTTCTCCTTGACTGACGCCTCCTTTCCGCGACTTCTGGGGCCGAGCGACTGCGGCTATTTTCGTGTCCCAGGGACAATGTAGTCGAGAGACCACGGACTATCGCCGATTCCATTCTCATTTTCATTTTCGAAATACGTTCACGCATGAAAAAATACCTGAAAATTGCGTTTAACCAGTTATCATTTAGTCTCACATATCACTTAATGGAGCAAATAAAAATCGCCAATAATAATTTCTTTTCTACGTTTTAACCTTACTGATTACGTACGTAAATAGCATCTATACGAATATTACATTTCAATTGAAAAAAAAAAAAATATATATATATATATATATATATAAGCCAATAGGTAAATGTTCGTTGCATTAATATTTACATTGCAAAGAGATGATTATTATTTGATGCTTGAAATGATTTATTCTAGTTTTTGGAATATTAATTTCAATGCACATTTAGAAAATTGGCCTTTAACAAAAGGTTAAAACATGCATTTTACTTGTTATTTATAGTACGTTGAGCGTATAAATAAACTCGTAAATTGAAAATGGTAAAATAATATTTACCAATTTCGTTGCTCATGATTTAGTTGAATTTTTTTTAATATGATGATCATATACATCATCATTATTATCATAATTTTCAGTTTTCGGACACCATCTTTATTTTAAATCTAAGCTCTTTCAGTGAAGCCGTTGCTATATTATTACATGATATAAATTACATAGACTTAATTAATCGTTTCGAACAGAGCTAATTCCAGTCGTATAATTTTCTAACGAACATTCTTATTTAATCCGTAGACATTGCGATTAATTAGCCGACGATGATAGTTAGAAAAAATTATATATAGGTTTATGGTAGTGATATAAATATAAGATATTTATTAATTATGCAATTATTTGAGCAATTTACGGAATAGTGATACCAGAATCTTTTTGAACTTTTAAGAATGCAAACTACGAATTCGGATACAGAAGTAACTATATTATAACGAGGTAACCGAATATTCAAATTGATGAAAAAACAAGTTCTAAAATATTTGCTCAGCTCATCATGTTTAATGTACAAAAGAACAATTTGGGCCGTTATTGTGACAAAAAATTTAGAAAAAATTTCTTCCCAAAAAAAAAAAAAAAAAATAGCAGCGAAACCATTTGTTTTATCTTAAGTTGTTAGCATTTAAAAAACAAAACAAAAAAAAAACGTAAAAAAAAATTTAAAAAAAAAACAAACAAACAAATAGTACGCGACCATCGAGGTGCAAACTTAAGAAATAAATAGAGAAAAGTATCCGATTTATTACGTAAGTAGATATCTTGATGAACCCAAACGAAATTAAAAATAGAATGCCTGTGGCCATAGTCTGGACCGTAGATTATTTGAGAAGCTATTTACAAATGTTAAAATTGAATATAATAATAGATACCCATAATTTACCATTAAAAATAATTTTAAGAATCTAGTGATTTATATCACTTTTAATATATCATATTTAACTTGTATATTGCAAAAGGTCATTGAATTTAAATATCAATATACTTTTATGTGTGACAAATATATTAATGACCAATATATTAATGATTTTATTCCTTCTTATGACGTTCAAAATTTACAATTAAATAATAATTTTTCGAGTAATCTTGTTGAATAAAAAGTAGGTCCTAATGTGGCTGTTTAAAAATTTTAAATAAAAAATTATTTATTCTGAAAATGGAAGAACGATGACATTTGTAAATATTCCTATTTGCTTAAACCTCAGTCACTATATTATATAAAAATGAAATAATAATTCTTCTGTCGATTCACAACTTTACATTACGAATGAATAGTAATTCTATTCAACTTCATTAAAAACTCGAATTATTCAAATTAAAATGAAATATTTTACAATATTTACAGACTGTCTTGGAAGAATATTATTATAATTATATGAGCAAGATTTACATACAATTTTGGCATTATTATATTCTTTAAAAAAACAAACAAACAAACAAACAAACTAACTAACTAACAAACAAATTTTACACATGTAAAAAACTTAATTTTCAATAAATGTAATTAATTAAATGTAAGTTCCCTGACTTTTTTCTTAATTGAAATACAATTTTACTTCATTTTCTATCTGTCGATATGTATTATAATAAAAGTTCCAACGGTATATTAACTATTGGTTTATTTAAGCTCCTAATTAAGCTTGAATAATTTCGAATCTGATCTCTTTGCCCTCTAACTTTTTGAAAACATGCAATCGTTTAGTAGAAAACACATTATTTCTCTCCTAAATAATATCTTATTAATAGCATCTCTACAATGACTATTGCTGTAAATACAAAAATATGTTTAACATACGAGCAGATTTGAATGAAAAATGAAGTATACTTGCGTTTATGGTAGATTTACGGTAGTCCAAAAGTGACTTAAACACTTAAAATTTTATGCCCTCAAATATATAAATCCCTTGACTAAAGAAACTCAAATTTGTCTTTACATTAATACTGAAATCGTCTGCATTTACTGCAATTAATCTTATCAAATGAATATTACAATTTTCTATAGAGATCACAAATTATTTTTTATATTAATATTTGTACTCATTAGTAATCATTATATACTTTAAAGACTAATTGGCCAAACATTTACACAAAAGAATAGTTCTCATCCTAGCCGATACAAGTGTAAACTAAAAGTACTTTTCATGTATTTTATATAATAAAAAAATTAATTGAAATTAAAAATATGAAATTAAATAGATTTTATTATTAATATGAACGTTCTAATGTACATGTGTAAGTGTAATATTTTACAAAGTCTTGTATTTTTTACTCAGAAGGCAAGTAAATTACGTCGCTATATTACTCGTATATATTATATACGGGAATCGATATTCTTGTATTTGTTGATTGCAAAGTGTTGAGTAGTAAACAAAAATGAGACTTGGAATATAAATTCAAATTAATTTAATCGTTTAATTATGAGTATCAATAAAATTAATTCGCGCGTATTTATGAAAATTATATTTTACTTATGCTTTTCCTTCAATCTTATACCAATGATAATTGCTATAAGGGCTAGTGTTAAGTCTGAAATCAAAGGTGATGGATTTCATAGGTTAGATTCTTACTAATTTATCAATTTCAATTTCAGACTATATGATATAATATCATTTATTAAATATAGATTATATAAATACATTAATTAAATGTAAAAGCTTTATTTTAATGACATATGTACGCATAAACATATTAGTATATTGATATTTTATAGAAAGTATCGGGTTGCTTATGTTTGAAAATGTTTATTAAATAATAATTCAATAATCTGTGATATTATTATAATTTATAGAAAATAAATATTAATGATTTGTAATCTTTATAGGCTATTAAATTATCATGTGAATACAGGAAATTTTCAAAACAAAAGCTGCCATGTAGCTGTATATTTACAATTACCATTATCGCTTTATGTAAATGTTGATGAACTGGCAGATCGCAGACGACTTTACAAAGTATATTTATATCTATAATACTTTGTTCTCTTGCGACTATATGACATACAGTTTAAACAAAAGAATTTGGTAAGTCAATCAATTTTAATGATAATGATTTATTTTACAGAGTTCATCTTGTTCCGATGGAGAGGTAGATGTTGAAGTTTTTGCTGAAAATGCAAGAAATCAAAATATTACCATATGCTCTCGGCTAACTAGCTCAAAGAAAACATTAATAATTCCTGTTCATCAGCGTTATCATTTAGCTAGCCGGAGCGGTGAATTTATTAATATAACGCTTCCTCAACCAAAATTACTAATAGGGTGTCCAGATAGATTGAAAGAACATAGAGTTTCGACGACTGTGATCTGCTGGCCATGTAGCGAATATGTAAAAAAATGGAGAGACATTTATTATAGATGGGTAAATAATATTTATTTCATTAAAGAATTGAAGAAGAAAAATCTTCTGCAAAATATTTGATAATTTAATTTATAATTATAGATGCTAAATTTAATAATGTGTGATTAAATTATTATTGATGCTTGTTTGTCGTTTATTTTGTGGTTGGAAAATTCTAATGTATTACTTGACAAATTGTGCACTGTAATTCACAAGTTTGATTTAATGTTTATGACTACTGAATTTATATGGTATTTAAAAATAAACAATTTTTTAGGAAGGTGATAATAATTTTATTTGGCAAATACCGGTGGGTAATACATCGCAGAAATTTCAAGTGACTTGTATTACTCTATTCGTGACTAGTTTATGCGCTGCATATGTTCTATGGATAATTTATAAATCGTATAAAATATCAAAGGACAAACAATCGAAGGATGACTAATTAAAACACAAATTTTGTAACAAATTTGTTAACAGATGGTTTGCATTTATATTATATACATGAAATTCTTAAGTTAGCGAACTTTGTACATAGAATAATTTATAGATGTGATACGTCAAATCGACTACAATAAATAATATATTATGCTTAATTAATTAATAATAAAGGTGTAAATAGTTTTAAATAAAAACTGTACATAGTTTCTTAATGCTGTGTAAGTTAACTTAGTTTTACCATTCTCGATAACCTTCCATGTACAAAAACGAATTTCAGTACGCTTTGAAAAGTGAAACACTAAGCGATAGGAAATTGCTCTTTTAATCTTTCAAATAGTAGATAATAGTAGATATAAAGTAACTATATAAATTATATAATTTATAAAATCCTTATATTGAAGCATTCAATAAAAGATAATAGATTATTTATTAAGTTGGGTCTTAAAATTTTTAAGACATTAAGAAGATTATCTGTAATTTATAAAGTTCTTGTATCACATGAATTCTAAAATTGTCTCTTGAACACTGACATTACTTCATTCGTAGTAATCTATGAACAGCGCATAGATTGACGATTTGAAGACAGATGGAATAATGATATGAATGATTACACGATGATGTGTAATTATTGTTGTATGGTACTAATTATTACGCTCACTCATCGCTCTATTTTTTCATCACTGTTTATAGTTTTATTTAACACGGATATTGCTGATACTTCGGGCAAATTATACAATTTGCCATTCGTTTTACTCGTTGGATTGTTCCAGTTTTGAACTTTAACAGAACCGAAAAGTAGAAAAGCAAGAGCTCCAATTATATACATGCCTGATGTTAAAAGGAAGATAGTCCTCCATTGCGATACGTTTGTCTGTAAAAATATTTTCAAATCATATTTCTTTTTGGAGAAGTACACTTTTAATTAATTAACATTAATTAAATGAAAAATTATTTTTATGTTTTCTATTGCCACTTATTGTTTCTAACGTTCTTTTATAATGAATCAAAGAGCAAGAGAAATTTAAGCAATTGTTTTTATTTTACTTTAATGTGATTTATTGCTTCGATTAACGTTTAAGTAATACGTTACGTTACGATTAATGTAATACATAATAATTAATCATGATATTTTTCAACGAATTATAAATTAAAATATTCAAAGGATATTATTGATACTAAAGGATAATATGACTACAATTTAACGAAAAATTCTGGCAATGTAACTTAATAAGAAACACAATTACTATAATGATTTTTTCAAAGTCTTTTACACAAGTATAAATAAAACATATTTTTTTACATTGTTTGCACATACGCATCGGAATACACGATCGAACAAAGTAATTATATACTTTAATCATTATGTTGCTCTGTCGTATACGTGCGACTTATCAAAGGCTAACCTGACGCGATCCCGATCCCCCTCTGATCTCCACAACCAACGAAATATTAGTTATCGATGGTGAATAATATTAGACAAGTAAAACACGATCTTACCGGATCCTTAACGATAAATCCTTGGACGAGAGGTGCAAAAATACTGCAGACGTTTGCGGCTGCGTTGGTGAAGCCCATGAGAGGGCCCGCGAAATTCGGACTGAGATCCATGTGATTAGCGTGATGGCCACAATAAACGGCGATATTACCGGACACAGCTATCACGAGAATACTTACGGCTAGAAGCTGCTGTTGATTATTAACGAAGCCGAGGCCGATGAGAGCGAGCGCCGGGAGGATCTCGCCGACGGTATTACATATCATCCTGGAGGTCCTCATACTCACCTTGTTACTGTGAATTGCCCAATCCGAGCCGAAGCTCATAGGGAAGCTTAAGAGCCAGGCGGAAAGGTATGGGAGCGATGACATTAATCCATTCTGTGCCAATATCCAGAACAATTAGTGTGTTAGTAGAGTATTAGCTGCCATAAGAATTTAAAATGCTTTAGAAATTAGTTCACTAGGAAAAGTTGTGAACAAGGTCGTTTCATTTTACTTCGTTTGCCGACTTAGTCAAGGCACGCGGGCTAGCAATGACAAGTAGGATATAATTCATTGGGCAATGCATTCTTATTCAATCCCATAAATATCGTGGGGTAATGATTTTTTCATATTACTAATTTGAAAATTTAAAAGAGCGATAAGGAAAATCCAATATATTCAAAAGTAAATTAAATTTAAGAATTGTGATGGGCAGGTGTGGGTAATGATTTTTTCATATTACTAATTTGAAAATTTAAAAGAGTGAATCACCCATGAGAATAAAAATTCGAGAATACGTATGTATTATTGCTTTGCAGACTATAAGTTCAAGCAACGACTTTTAACGATTATATTATATTTCAAAGATTCTATACGACATCTGTTCAATCATTCACATCACATTTTGCAAATTGAGCCTTCACCAGCAGTGAGACAAAGTGGTCCTTGGAATTCGAATAGAATTATTTATATCACACAAGACTCTTGAATCGATGGTTATTTTGATTTTTCAATCATTTCGGTGTAAACATTACATACTTATTAAGTAAAAAATATTTCAATACAAAATTCAAGAACAATACAACTGCAATTTAAAAAAGAAAATTAATCTTTTTTTGTTAAGTATTTCAATATAATAATATACATTATTATTACTATTCAACATTCAATAAGACTTTTATAGCCAATTTAATGTTGCATTCGATATTTATTTGATAAATCTAAGCGTGCCAGTTTTTTATATATTTGTATGAAAAGGGATTCATAAATTGTTCATACCTAAACTATTTTTTTATTATTAGATTAAAAGTAGTTATTGTGCAAACATATAATTGCTTTTATATAATTTTATACATTTTCATTAAAAATAACGTGCAACATTATCGAATTTTTAATTAAATTTACAAGATATTAATCATTGAAATCTCGGCTGATATTCGTTTTATAGTATTGAAACTATTATCAGTGGTTATATGAACCACGAATTCTTTAAATTCTTTGCTTTTACGCGATTACGCGTACTTGGGAAGAACATACCACATATTATATAAATTATTTTAGGAATGTAATATACTGTAACTCTTCTCACTACAGCACAACCTATTTATCAACAAATTACATTCAACATTATACGTGCACTAATGTGGACTGTGATGTTATTTCCGAATTATCGATAACGACCTTAAACAAACCACGTACGAATGTTATAAACGAAAAAAGTTTAATATTGTAAAGTAATTTGTTCGATTCCTTAAAAAAAAAAAAAAAAATCTTTAGGGTACTTAGAAACAATTTCAATATGAATTAAATTACTTGGTAATTATTTATATAACAAATTATACTAGATATCGGGAAGAACTAATAATAATAAATTTCGAATGAAATTCACTATGCGTCATTCTTTTACAATGATTAAATTTCTTTATGTATTATATGTAAATATAATCATTCGCACTCACGCTCACACTCGCATTTACACATTATATCTCTGCGTTATAAAAAAATGCGTAAGACGTAAACTATTCAATTTTTTTCATAACTGTTATTACTAAAAATGCAATATTATTAAAGTAAATAATGAATGAGTGTGTGTGTAAAAAAAAAAAAAAAAAAAAAATTCCAAACGGATGCCTAATTTTATATATTTAATTATTGATATTAATAATCAATTTCAAATCTTAACTAATCGAAACGATATTACAAGTATTAAATACTGAGTCGATGTAATGCTATTGCTAAATTAGTTAATAATTTCTAGAATTTTCATTGCACTCTCTCATTTCGATATCAAAATTTTGATCTTGAGATATTCTTATCTTGGTTCATAGAACAAATTTTATTAATGAATTTAATTGCAAATTATCTGCATGAGCAAGTCGACATTTTAACATTTAAAAAAGAATCTTTATTTAACTATACATTGAAGAGACAAAAAAGTACTGGAAATAATCTTACTATTTATTAACAATAGCAAATTTATTTTAATTACATTACCGTATTAAAATAACAGACCAAATACTTTTGCTCGTACGTAATTTACTATTTATTTGAAAAGCTATCTTTATCAAATAATTCTAAACGCGGATTTAAAATAAACGCGATGCTCGACCCATTATTTTACAATATCGAATATCATTTTTTTTTTTTTTTTTTTTTTTTTTTTTTATATTTATATACAGCATTAGGAAAGTTCACACAGTATACGAAATAAATGTAAAGACTATTTATAAATAAAAATAGTATTATTTGTGCAAATATTATATGTTTATATTGTCAATACATGTTAAAATTATTAATAAAAAAAACTCCTTCTTAATTAAGTTGAACACTCGTTGATTTTGATTGCGCGAAGCTATTACTTGATGATTTATTTCATTAATTCGGCTTTAATTTAGCGAATTGTAAATTGATAAGCCAAGATTGAAAATCAGCATCCAATATTACGGGTAAGTGAGCATTTATAAATAAAAATTTGTAGTAACCGATGGAGGTTAATAAATGATGAATCTTTCAATTAAATTCGACTTATTGCAATAATAATTGTCAAATTTTTTTATTAAAAAATTTCAGTCAAAAACCCATGTTTTCTTTAAAGCTGTTAATGTTTCGTAAGCAATGTAAATCGTGGATAAAAATAAAGATACCAAGTTAACGTTTATATTGATAATTTCGTTAAACATTCGTGCTCTCGTTTAATCAAGCATATTTTGAGAAGCTACAAACGAAGAAGAACGTAGACATGTTATTGATGTTTTATAGCAAGAGGAGAAACGGACTGTTCTTCGAGAAGAAATTCTTGGAAATTGTAAACTCAGCGATAGCAAAGAGAGGGATGAAAAAGCCATAATATCAACGAATTTCATTCTTAAGTTAAATCAATAGTGATGTATATACATTTGTATCGTCTTATTCACGAATTGGACATTTTCTATAGACAACTGTTATAAAAATAAGAATAATAGCCACTGGATAGATTTAATAATTAACTACGCACGTTAAGAATAAAGTGAGTATTTGAAAAAAAAAAAAAAAAAAAAAAACTATTAATTATGAGACATATGTAATATCTTATAAATTTTATCAGTTAGTAAGTATTTGAGATATTTAGCCTTTACACTTACACGTTGTATATCATAATTTAAAACTTTGTGCATGTAGGAAGGTATTTTTGAGAGTAGCATCCAGAAACCCCAAGCTTGTGTGCATTGAGCAATTAAAAGAGCCCAAACTGGTACTGATGTCAATATGGATTTCCATGGCGTTGAAATCGTCTACAAAACAATAATGGATATCATGGATAAGTAATTCCATATATTATCGATGAGTATGGATTTATAATACCATATATTTAATGTATAAGAGATGAAAAGAAAGAAAAAAGAAAAAAAAAAAAATAATGAAAATAATCTCTTTTCATGTTCAACTTATGTTAATCTCACACCGTAGTTGTAATTGCTAAATATTTCGTTTTATTCCTACAAACTTATTCCATTGAGCATAATCATTTCGTCGTCATTTGTAATGAGAAAATATACTAGCATTCGCATTGGTTACATTAAACCAATTTTTATATCTTTACTTTATGTAATTTAATACGTATCATAATAAAGATTAATTTTTATTACACATACAAATGCGTAATTACTCGCATGCTTTTCTCATGATACATGAATAAATTTATAGCTTATTCGAAGTCATACTTCATTTATCGCATGTGAATTTGTTTGCTTGGGAGGAAAAATGACAAACGACATATTGCCCGTTCCATGAGTAATCAAAGACTCGCTGAAAATAAGAATAAGCAATTTGGCTTTCACGTTTGATTAAATTAATACCTTATAATGTTAACTCGCGCGAGGAGACAAACTACTGAAATTTCAAATTTTAAGAATCGACAACCAGGAGCACCTCTGGGCCAGCTTATATTAATGATCTTAACCATGCTATGACCACCTGCTGCTTGTCCGAGTATCTCCAATCGACTTTATGAACGCTCGACAATTATTGCCGTTAATAAATCGAGTTTTGTTGAATGAGGAGGAATGATTGAGTTGGCAGTTGGAAGACGAGGGCAGAGGTAAGGAATTTGGAGGGGGACAGTTACCTCGGTAGTCTCGACGATGCCGAGGCTGCTCTCGATGAATATCTTTTCATCGGAGGCGATGCCCGGATGCTCGGCAGGCGACTCTTTGCCGAGGAAGTACCAAGCGATCGACCAAACTAGGGAGACGACGCCCCAGAAGTAGAAGCAGCTCGGCCAGCCAATAGCAGATCCGGCGAGAATACCCGAACTTTGCAGGGCAATGACGTTACCGATCCAGCCTCCCGAGTAGACGAAGGACGCTGTGGACGTGAACAATTTTTCCTTGCCGCCAAAAGAACTTGACTTTTTTTTATCTCCGGTTGCATGACTATTCATGCTTAGGAGGCAACGCTCGCATCTTTACTGAACCTTATCTGCTCTTCTTTCTCAGGGAAATGCAACGGTTTAATGAAAAAAAAACGATAATCATCTTTTTATTTACATTGCCTTTAATTGTTTTGTATAAAATTTTAATTTACGGCTACTAATGTCGGCCTAGGTAACTAGCTCTATCGCAGCTTATATTCGCACGAGTGGAAGGAAGTTGTATGAGATATTGCATTAGGGTGCTTAGCGTTTTAACGAAACCACCAATTATCAAACCCTTAATTTAAGCTTTTGATCCAAGTGCCCAGCAATATTTATAAATCGTGTATGAAATATAACGTACATTAAAAATTGATAAGTCAATTAGTGATATTTGCATTGAATGAATAAGCAAGTAGATATAGTTAAGTGTCAGTTAACGACTGGAATACAAAATTCTATTATACACATTAATCATGCGTCGCTGGCCAAATATATTTCATATTTTATAAAATCAAAAATAAAAGTCTCGAAAGCTAATCAATTATATCCATGTAGCGAGAGTACTGATGCAATATTACAAAAGCTCATGTATTTGTGAAATATCGTATTATTACATAATCGTTGTTTTTTATGTCAATTATATATATATATATGGACAATTGTATTAAACTTATACAATTAACGTATACAGTTGTCAATGTCATGAAATTTTTCATTTAATTACTCGGCTTTGATAATCATTATATTTCAATATTTATCATTAAAATAATATTCGATAGCTATTACGTTCTTCGAATTTCGATATTTAATGGAAATATCTTTAATTATATTTAATTTAATTGTTACAACATTAACAGCAACAACATTTCTTTCCTATTAATTGCAAATAATAAATTGAATATTACATTATATCTCAATGTATCTTAAACTCAAAGTTTATATTCATCATTAGAGACTATTGAATTACTAAAATTTTTGTCTCTTAAATTAATTGGAAAACTAGTTGAGTTCCAAGTTTGTAAATTACAAATTCATTCTTTCTAATTATAAGTAAGGATCAATCAAGTTTTTTTTTTTTAGATTTTTCTAATCACAGATTAAAGCACAGATTAGAAGAAAAAATATATTTTTACATTAACTGTGCTTAAGTTTCCAAAGAATTTCAATATATATTAAAGCAATAAAAAAACATACTAATAAATTTATATTAAATTTAATTCAAACTCATTTGTGAAAAATGTTTTTGGAAATTAATAATCACATTTGAGATTAGTATTTTATCATATTTTTTTTTTTTTTTTTTTTTTTTTTTTTTTTTTTTTTTTTTTTTTTTTATTCACTTATCTTTTATTTTATCGCTAAGCTTTATCGATGTAAATTCTTGTAATAATAATGCTATAATATTATTTAGAGTCAAACACTTTGTGTAAGTCATAACTCTTCCAATGTATTGTAAAATTCAATTTCATAAGTATAGTAATAAGCATTGCCAATTAAAGGAACAAATAATATATGATTAATGGCAATTTTAACGTTAACATTTACGAAAACTTGAAGTTTCACGGGCAAAATCATGAAAAATAACCAGCTTGTTATTCCTATTGTATTTTTGACATTTTCTTTAACAAAGAGCCGTTCTTTACAAACGTATTCATTAATAATATCAATAATACATTATATGTCATTAAATGTTAAGTCATGGGCGTTTAAAAAATTTTGATCATCTTATTTAAATTTGTTAGCTGCATTATGCATTGGCAAGGCTCCTCGTGAGTATGAAAAGTAGACTTTTATCTGAATTTTATGAATAAGAAATTAAAATTTAAGTCAGTTAAGGAAACGTAAATCTGAACAATGCCTTGCCAAAGTATGCAATAGAACTGCGCAAAAAACTGTGGCTAATGTTTATGTGTGCGTTGAGAGGAATAATTGTTTAAATTTAACGTATTGAGATGATTTATCTGACAAATGAAACGCTGACTTGTGATTTGCAATCCTCATTTAAAAACCTCAAAAACTTTTCAAGCAAGAAATAAGACATTTGCATTGAAAAGCTTTTATTCTCGGCAACATCCTACATGCAATCTACATTATATTCAACATTGGAATTCAGTGGCACCATATCACATAACATTAGATCATCAAAATGAAAAAATTAATATAACGTAAAGTCGAATTAGCGATGAAGAAAGAAAGAAAGAAACAGCGCAACGGCAAGTGCTTCTGTCTGTCTACGCTCCCGGTGATCATAATGTTCGGAATTTTGATCGAACGCCGCGTCTCATCCGGTTGCAGGCGGAAGTCGGTTGGATCGCGGCCCACGAAATTGCCACTTCCCAACATCGAATAACGTATGACGCGACTATTAAAGTAACCAGATAAGTAAAGTATATTCACTGAATCTGCCTCTCTCCAGGTGTGGCACCCACTTGGCCAGCAGCGTATGAAGGACGGGCGGCACGACACCCTGGCAGAGTCCGCAGAAGACGCGGCAGGTACAGACGAGGACGTAATCGCCGTACGCCGCGGCGAGAGGAATGAGGAGGGTGGCCAGGGCGCAGAGGCCGACGGAGATGCCGAGGAGTCGTTGGGCGCCCCAGCGCTGGGTCATCATGCCACCTGGCACCTGCGTCACCACGTAGCCCCAGAAGAACGAGCTTAGCACCAAATTCTGCGTTTGCTCGTTCCAGTCGAAGCGCTGCGTACATGAATTGTTAATAGTATTGGGGGGAATCGATAGGAGCAAAGCTGCTTCCAGTCTCGCGGCTGATCGCCTCTCTTTCTCCAACGCGTCATTCGTTTATTCATATGCTGCTTGACGTGCTTGCGACGTACAATAATCACCGCAAGCTACGATCTTAGTTTGAGAATTAATCGCGATTGAAATCGAAGATATGAGCCCCGAGACTGGAAATACAACTGTGTGCCTTAATTTGTGTGGATAATTTGTATTTCTGAAATTGTGAAGCACACGACGAGGAGCGAAGTGAGCAATAGTAGTTTACCGTACTGTCAAAAATACTTGCTTGAAACAAATGGAAATTTTTTCTTATTTTTATTATTATTACTTTGTTTTTTTTCTTTCTTATTGTTTTTCTTTTTGTTTTTCTTTTTTTTTTTTGTTTTTTTTTTTTTGTTTTTTGTTTTTTGTTTTTGTTTTTGTTTTACCTTCCATCGATTAATTTAACAAATTTACAAAAGTTCTTTACATCCATTATTTCAAAATTAAATTCCAATAACGAGATACAATGAGATATGAGATATGAGATTTTCTTCGGACAAAAGAATTTTTCCTTATTTTTCTTTTTATTATATCTTACTCTAAACAATTAACTTTTATAATCACGTCTCAGTGTACAGTCCCGAAAAAAAAACAAAAAAAAAACAAGATTTTTATCACCGGATTAAAGAATAACCGATATAAAACACAACAGATTATAAGATGTTCGTTTATCCGCGAATGCAAAGCTTTCGTGCGTAATCAAATTGAAATAGTTGTAAATTACAGCACAGATATTTTTTTAAGAGGAGATAGTCTACGGCTACCGTCTTTTGGCAAGATAAACGAACTGACATTTTAATCGATAGGTTTTCCCCAAGGCCAACGTTTATTTTCGCTAAAACTCAAAACTCCAATATAACCGTATAATGTTATGTTCGATGTTATGGCCTAATCAGCATTATTTATAGTTAATTGACATTATGAGTATCGTTTAACACGGAACCTCTCGATGCTTCCTCCCCTCGCTCCCCTCTCCTAAGTCAGCCGCCTTAAGTCAACATCTAACGTTTACCAGTCGATTGGACCTTATCGATGCAAGCATTTTCCAAAATATTTTCGACACATTTTCCGCGCGTTTATATTCGCGCCTACGCCATACACTCGCGCTCGTTCTTTAAACTGTCGATACTTGATAAAAATAGCTGATCAAGAGAGCCGAGGAAAGGATTAAAATGAAAAAAATAGTCAAGAGAATTCGCCGCTTTGATATGAACAGAAACGAGCTCGGCAATCCCCGATGATGCGTTGGTGTGCATTTTACCAGAGATTTATTGGAGTCCACCATGGCGACCACCGCCACGGACATGCACACCCTCATGGCGTAGCAGCAAAGGAAGCCGCCGGTCATCAGGATCGCCTGGACGTGTCGCGCCCCAAAGGTAGCTGCAAGCAGACACGTTGCATCGTTACTTCCTGCCTCTTGTCAGTCCTAGACGGACACTAGTATTCTCACCGCGAACACATACACACGCACACACGCACTCTCTCTCTTTCTCTCTCTCTCTCTCTCTCTCTCTCTCTCTCTCTCTCTCTCTCTCTCCTTTGTTCACCGGTGTGGGGAGATCTCTTTCTCTTGCTCTCCTTTGTTAACCGGTATGGGGTGAGGTAGGGAGGGACGTTACGACAATGCATTGCGAAATGGAGGGGCGCGCGCGGACGTTCCATTTTACCCAGTTTTTTTTCTGCGAAATCAGCTACTCTTATGCACCGGGGAACGCACGCACGTCTTCCTGGAATTTACGTATTTGTCCGTCCCCCGTTGTTTTCTTACTCGGAAATCGTTTGCGATTGCGATTGAACGATCCACTTTCGTGACTTTTTTTTTTTTTTTTTTTTTTTTTTTTTTTTTTTTTTCTTTTATATATGCGCCTCGCGATACAGAGGATATTCTATTTTAACGACCTGCAATTCGTTCCGTTCCTTAATTGTTCAATGCGTCGATACGATACGGCAACAACGGCGCCGTGAAATTTTCCATTTTATTTTTCTTTTCTCTTGCATTGTTCTATAAAGCTACGACATTCTATAAAGAACGTCATATTATTGTAAGGATCGTTGAGATACGCTAGACAGGTGAATTTTTGCGTGCTTCGTGTTCTCTTAGATTGATTTGAAAAAAAAAAAAAAAAAAAAACAATTTGCAAAGTGCGTTAACTCTCCGGTACTCGAGAACTTGGGAGAATAATCGTTACACTAATGAAATGTCATTACGCGCGTTAGATAAAAGCGTATTATTTGATAATTGACCATTTGATTTGACTCGCACGCTCTATACATAATCGATTCGCCTTCTTCGCGCATTTTGATCATGTGCGTTGAGCGAACGCCATTGATTGGTGACCTCGTAAAGCGTGGAATACATTTTCGACGAATGAAACGTACGCATGCCCAATGGGTCAAGCTCATGAATAACGCAAGCCATGCACGCACGCACGCGTGTATTACATTCGAGGTGAAGTGCGCGATCGGCGCGTGGAATGCCGTGGGTGAGAAGCTACCGATATTATTTCAATAATTAAATTGTACCAAACAGAGTATTTACGTTCGGTAATGTTTCTTTCGGCCCATGACATACAAAGCGTAAATACGACGACCAGACATCTATTGCGGGTATGTCCGTGTGGGGTGGCCTGTAGGATCCACCGACAGACTCTCTTATTAACGCCAATTGCACCGTTTCTTTCTCCGTTTTAATTGATCTCATGATTCATCATTTTATGATGATTAACGTTCTTAGCTTACAATCTTCTCATAAAAGATTTTGAAATTACTTAGTTGCTAATTTTTGAGTGCTTGAATTTATGCAGTGCACTTGAATTTACACGCACGAGCTGTGCTGGTTATTTTTTTTTTTTTTTTTTTTTTTTTTTTTTTTTTTATCATCTTTTGTTGCTATCTATAGAATTTATGTTGTCTAAAACAAAAGCAAAAAATAAAGAAAAAAAAAATAAAGAAAAGAGATAAAAAAAAAAAGAAAATTAAACCTATAAGATTAGAAATTTGTTTTTGTTATTTCATAATTCGGGAAATGACTGACTACAGGATAAGCTTGTATGTAAGGTCAAGAGTTTGTAAATTAAATATAAATAATTGTTTTAACGATATAATTAGGCCACTAATGAAAAAATAGACTCAATACATTAGAAAACGCCAATATTATTCATATAATAACATTAAGATTTACAACTTAGTTTCTTTTCTAGGTATTTTATTAAATAGCTTATTAGTCATGCAAATATACTTTTACATTGTATAAATCATCATTTAATAATATATTATATCATTTAAATAAATTGATTATGTGAATTTATAATAATTATTCTCTGTTTCATATAAAACATTAATTTAATCATTTTTCAATAGACTGTTGGATAATAATAACTATTTATATATGTCCAGATTTTAGATAATTTTTTTTTTTTTTTTTTTTTTTTTTTTTTATTTTTTATATAAAGAGTATCATATAAAGAAATTCAATCGATTGTTGCCTAATAATCTAATTAATCTAAATATATATATAATGTGTAAGCTTTCTCAATTGTATTTAATCTTTATAATATTAATACTTAAAAGTTTAATATTTATACATAAAACTTTCTTCTATCAAAGGCAAACTGTTTATTTCTGGATAAATTGGCATTTCAAATTTTTATTTAGTTTTATAGAAAATATTACGCTCCGAATGTACTATGAAATGTGAATGGTGTTCGCCTCTGTAACAGACACGTTTAATTTGTATTTTAAAATTATGCCACTAAAAATAAAAATATGTTTTACATTTAATAACATTTAAAGTTAATACGACAAAATTTATAATATTGTTATTATTACATAAAGAATTTATTCCATTATTCAAATAATTGTAAATATAAAAAAATTTTTGTTAATATCAATATCACTTTGTAATGTTAATTTATGTATTATCTTATCTATAATATAAGCATACATTATAATTAATATAATAGTTATGTGATTATGTGCGCTTAAGCTTTTGAAACACTTTTTTCTTTCTTTGATTTTTCTTTGTTTTTTATTTTCTGACAAGTATTTAGGGCGAGTATGTAAATTTTTACCAATTTACAGAGTTTTTCTTTTCAAAGCAATTCGAAAATAATATAAACACGATCTAAAAAGATAATAAACTGTTTACGTAAAGCAGCAGATAATAATAGGTGTTCTTAATAATAAGTATGTCGACATTATCTTATTAAATTATAGTTAGATTCCTTAATTTTAAAATTAGATTTTAAATGTCATTGTCTGACGATCGCATGAGTCGATGATTATCATCTAATTCGTCAATTGCTTATTCGATATTTACTTAGTCACGTTTAAACTTTTATCACAGTTTTCATTATAATTTATTTAAGTTATAAAATATACGATCGTTAATTAATCTTTCGTTACAGCAGCTGTGCATATATTATGGCATGTGTATGAAACAATTAGTGACGACGTGCATTTTATGACCCCTCGTAATAAGATCAGCGGATTTCATGTTTATTTATTAGAGAAATATTCGATTCCCTATGCATTTAGCAAATCAGCAATTACGGATTTATCCATACGAAGGAATTATTAATGTATTATGTCTTTTAAATTCTCAATTCAAATGCAACAGATCGAATAAGGACCTGAAAGTTTTTAATTGAAATTAGAGTAAATTATTTCTTTTAATATTTAATTACGTAGAATAATTTTATTTTATTATCATATCAGATATTTTGTACTATCGTATGATTATGAAAGCCATCCTACCAATATCAATTAAATAATATTGCTTTTACGTATTATAAAAATATACATAAAATTGAGTCGCATTGCACCTTGTAGCAGTTTATTCAAATTTATTCAAATGCATCTTTATTAATCATTAAATAGCGATGTATTGGTGAAACAATTGTATAAGAATTTTTACACGGAGCAAAGGCGCATTTATTAGACATTCAGAGCATCAAGCTTTCACTGGTTATTTATAATTTAATAAAAATTCAATTCCACCGGAGAACAAATTCTACAAGTTTTCAATCAAGCGCAAACATCACTACTCACCTCTTTATCAACTAGAAAAACAAATTCTCCTCCTCCCCTCGCCCATCCCATTGTCATCCTCAGCCCCGTCCCATCCCTCGCTCAATTATCTAAAATCTTCGCCAATTCCCTAACGCAAATTTTTTTGGCTTTTCTTAAAAGTTGCTCGAAAGGATGATTCTATCGTTGAAAGCGCTAGTATCGGATTAACGGATTAGCATTTCGGTCATTGCTCGGTAACTTCAACTTTCGTTCGCTCGACCCAATTCGTAAGAATATTCATTTCGCGTATCGACGAATGAAAAAAGTTGCTTTTCCATTTCCAGCTGCCGACTTACGGACTTCGTGCGTTTCCCGAGGTTCTTACATTGTCGACCTTGCATCGGAGCACCGCAGGAAATATAGTCGCGCTCCTTCTCGCGAGCTGTGCGTCGTCATACGCGGCGTATGATAGCGCATTTTATATAGCAGCTGTGGCCCTGGCTGATCGCGATGCAACTCGGGCCCGTGCGATGGAGAAAACAAAAACACGCTCTCCTTATCGTGAACATGTACATGGAGCGCGCCGAGCCTCTTTCTGGTTCATTCACTGCTTTCCACATGTATCTCGCCAAGTCTTGGAAAGCGAGGATTTTTTCCACTATCATTTTTACTTAATAAAATGTTTGCGCTGATGGACTCGTTCGCCTCCCTTAATCCGATCCCGGGAATCGTCTCGCCTTATGCTTGCGCACGTTAATTTAAGTAAGTCATATTAACGACTGGCAAATCTCTTGGTGATACGAGTGGTATTTTTGTAATGCCAAGCAAAGCAAGACATAATTCAGTTGAAATCACGTTCGACTTTCGTCCGGTAAAAAAATTGTTGAGAATTCTCCAGAAATGCTTCGGCATTTCTCGCGGTTGAATTTTTTCTCAAAACGTTGGCTAATCGAAAAATTTAGTGAGATATTATTTTATATTTAGGTTAAAAAAATTACATTTTTATACCGAATTGTTACACAAAAGAAAATATCGTAGATATTTCATTCGATTTCTTCTGTTTATGATTTTTTTTTTTTTTTTTTTTTTTTTTTTTTTTTTTTTTAAATTTTTGTTACTTTACTTTGCACAACATCAAACGGTTGGAATTTGGAATATGAAATGTATGTGATGTAATTTAACAAATTCTTTCTGTCATTTTTGTCATTGTATTATGTTTGTCGTTTTCATCATATTTAATTGCTACAACAGCAATAACAATAGCAATATTAATAATGGTAGAGATAGTAGTCAATCTAGTGATAGTAGTAGTAGTAGTGGCAGTAGTAGTAATAGTAGTAGTAGTAGTAGCAGTAGTAGTAATAGTAGTAGTAGTAGCAGCAGTAGTAGTAGTAGTAGTAGCAGCAGTAGTAGTAGTAGTAGTAGCAGCAGTAGTAGTAGTAGTAGTAGCAGCAGTAGTAGTAGTAGTAGTAGCAGCAGTAGTAGTAGTAGTAGTAGCAGCAGTAGTAGTAGTAGTAGTAGCAGCAGTAGTAGTAGTAGTAGTAGCAGCAGTAGTAGTAGTAGTAGTAGCAGCAGTAGTAGTAGTAGTAGTAGCAGCAGTAGTAGTAGTAGTAGTAGCAGCAGTAGTAGTAGTAGTAGTAGTAGTAGTAGTGGTAGTAATAATAATAATAATAATAGCATTATTATTAGTGGTATTAGTAGTAGTAGTAGTAGTAGTAGTGTTGGTGATGGTGACGATAATAGTAATAATATTTCGATATAACGAATTTATAAATCGAAAATGAAATCGTATTATCAAACGAAGTACAAAGTAAGTAACCTATAAATCATTAAAGACGCAGAGACATTATAATGTTCTTAACAAAACACGTTCTCAAAAACATGTAGTTCTTTTAACCTCACCAACGCGGACGTAAATTCCACACACGCCAAACAGCAATAAACTATACATCATTATTATGAGGAAACCAAATGCTTACTTCTGGGCTTCTCCGGCGATGCCATCATATTCGCCGCTATGGAGACTCTTCGGACAATCTGCGACATGTTTACTCGTCTTCGCAATCCTAATTCTGAGAGGAAATCAATGGAAGGCCGGGAGCCGATCGAGAATAAAGGAGCTCGGCCGATGCTACGCGTCGTTTGACGGAACGATTATATTATCGAGCTTGCCGATTGCTGCGAGAGTGTTTACACGTCGATGTACAAAGTTAGAGCTGCCGAGGAAATGAGTTCGACTCACGGATCACCTGGAGCCAGCGTTGTTTTTATGTGCGCGCGACTCAGCGATCGCAGCTCAACTCCCCCCCCCCCCCCCCCCCCCCCCCCCCCACCCCTTCCCCACCCCCCCCCCCCCCCCCCCCCCCCCCCCCCCCCCCCATGTCAACCGCGAGTCGCGCGGGTGCGTGAATCCAATGACGATTACCGCCGATTTACGATGACGAATATCGTCCGCGTGCATGTATACCGAGATTCCAGGTTGCCTCGGTCAACCCTCGATATTATCATTTTGACGGGCGCTAAGTACGCGAAAAAAGACTCTCTGCCCTCACTGCTCAAAGCCGCAGATATATTCGGAATCTGTGTAGGAGCGGTAGCTTTGAAGCTTTAGTGAAAATTCCCTTGCACCTCTTATTAATTGATGAAGCTTGAGATATTTCATCGACTATTATGCGCCATTACATAATCATGGATAATGGTAGCGCGGGGCCAGCTTCCTTTCCAAATTCACACGACCTTCAAACACACAAAGTCTCAAATATTCCAAGCATAATTTTAACTCGCTCTTTCTCTCTCTCTCTCTCTCTCTCTCTCTCTCTCTCGATCATATTTTCACATAACGACTCATAAATGTACAATTCTTATATTACCTAGAACTCATTATATTACTGATAGATAATTTTATGTATTGCCTTTATATATATATATATATATATATATATATATATATATATACATTGCTGGCTAAAAATTTGCTTTTTCCGTAGAAACAAGCTTTATATGAAATCGTTTCTAATTGTAGAAAAAATTACTAGTGCACATTTTAGTCACCGGCATAAATGAACGGAGAAAATAAAAAATATATTTTTGAATACACATTTTACTTTCAATATCTTATTATATCTCTATTATATATCTAATATATTAAATCTCCGATAGAATAGTAAATAAATTATCAATACTCTCGTTTTGAAATTATCTCTTTTATCAAACACTACTTAATTCGTCGGATATTCAATAATATTCGATAAAATCCTATAGGACTAATTTTTTCACAATTTATATTCAGATCAATTTGATAATTCAACTCGAGTTAATTTAAATTTCTATTATTTCTGTAGTAAAGCCATTCTGCCCTATGTTAAGATAATTTTTTTAATATGAGTATATTTATAATAAAATAAAATCCATTATTAATCTTGAATGTATGAAATAGTATTTGCAACTATAATATTGAATAAATGCTCGTTTACAAAAATAAACAAATCATTGTATAAGGATTAAATAACGATTAAAATCATATATAACTGTATATTATATATATATTGCAATAAAATTGCACGATCATTCATTTAATAAAAGTAAAATTTATATTTCAAGAAACATTATTGCATTATTGTGCATAAATGTATTAAATTAATTAATTGCATTAATTGAAAAATTTTTCTAAAATAGCATTTTAATAATAAAAGGCAAACAATGTAAGGACATTGCTATTATGAAAATCCATTAATTTTTATTATATTTATATTCATTACATTTATAGTGTTGGTTTTCATTAGATATTAGACGTGATATTTTCTTATAAATTTATTTATAATCCTTAACCAATTTTAGTCGTTCAAGTAGAGATTTATTTATTTATTACACCATTTTCGTGAAGATGAGAGTATCTTTATAACAATGAACTCCAGTACTTTTGAATAGTATTTTGAGAATACAAAAGCTATCGATATTTTTAAATTCCAAACAATAATACAATTAAAAATTTTAATTGAATACACGAAATCAAAGACACTGTGATAACATTTAATAGTGTTGTTCGTAATTAATTCCATTTGTGATGTTTAATACAGTTCGATTTAGTTGACTGAAATTGAATTCTATATCAATAATCTAATATATAAAATGAATTTTGAAATTGAATTAACCTTAAATAAGACATGATAGCTTCAATTATGATAGATATTTTTTTTTTTTCAAAATTCCATTTTATATGATCAATTAATAATTATTTTTCTAAAGAACGACTGCCGATTAAATAACTGCATTTTTATATTTATTATTGCCAGGTTTCCGTGAGACATTTTGAATGCATCTTATATTTTATATTATATAATTATTTTAAAACATTTCTTATCTTTAAGTTTGTTTATACAATTATATCTACCTAATAAATTCTACTTAAAAATTAACAAAGGTGCACTTCAAATATTTTCAGAATACAGTAAAATATTCGCTTTATGATCTAAAATGTATTTAAAAACATATATTTCAATTGAATTCAAAATTATAATAAAAATTATTTATCCTAATAGTATTTCACTATATAATTGAATTAAAGTTTTAAATAATATGTTAATAATTTATCTATATATTTAAATTATACTTTAATTTAATAAAACTAAAATATATCGTTCCATGAAATTTTGACTTTTACGTTAAGAAAAGAATCGTGTGCAAATTAATAAAATAAGGTTTACAAAACTATAAGATTAATAATATAAGAAATTATTTACTTCAAATACAATATAACCATATTAATTTATTTATAGCTACTAATTCAATCTGTGCCTTGAAATTACTTAATAAATTGCATTTATGTAATGCAAAACAATGTAAGATAATTACCTGCATTATCACAGCTCGTGCAACAAAAGATAGAAAAGATAATTTTACAAAAGTAAAATGACAAAAAAGTAAATACTAAAAACAAAGAAAAAGAATATAAAAAAGATATTTGAACTCCAATCAATTATTTTATGAAATATTTTCCGTTAACGCTGCTTAGTGTTTGACAATCACTAGGAAAACAACCAGAGAGCACGAGTTCAAGAAAATAAAAAAGACCACATGTATAAAAATCTATATGTAATTTTTCTTTCTCTTTTACATTGGAAATTTTTCAAATTATGTTTTAATTTTATGAGTAAATTGTATGATATATGTATCGCACTTTCTTCAGGAAAATTCAAAGCAATTAGTTGAATATCTAAATGTACATTAAGTGTCTATTTATTTAGTAATAAATTATATCACATTTATTACATTACATAAACAATATTAATGTAATAAATTATTAATTTTAATATAATTTGAAATAATATTTATTAAATATAAAAATCAATTTATTCAAATATATAACTTTCCTTTTCATATTATACTTTATATATTATTTTATAATATACATTATAAAAGAAATAAACCTTGAAATGCAACATGTATATATTAATTAAAGTTTTAATGAAATTATCAAAAAAGATTATTGCATAATTAATTTGTAGAATTAATCTTCTATGTTACTTTACGTATGTTACAGTTTATTAACACATTATAGTTTTATAAAAATAATTTTACTCAATGTTTAGTTTCATGACATTGCTTTATATTCAACATCTTTTACATAAATGACACAATTTTTACGTTGGTATTAATGGTATATTTTATTAAGTATGTAATCATTTAATATATAAATAAAATACATTCTTCGATAAAAATACGAAGTTTTTTTTTTGTGGAACTTATTAAGAAACTACATATAAACGTTAAAATGCCGACCTTTTATTTTCTGTTACAACCAACTTTGGTTATTTTACTGACCACTAAATTCTCAAAAAAATTTATAATACTTCGACAATACTTGATTAGTATCATTCAATCTATAGGAAACTAATATTTCTCTACATACAATGTAAGAAAATAATAAAAATAATAATAAAACATTCAAGAAATTACGATACTATGATGATTATATTTTGCTTAAACTCTTCTTTTTTAAACATCTCAAATATTTAATTAATCATCTAATTAATTTTCGTTATAAAATACCTAAGAAGTGCGTAAATTTAATTAATTAGAAGTTATTCGAATGCCTTAAACGCATACAAAAACGAAAATTTTATTAATTAATATGGTCTTAATATCCATAATATTAAATTAAAAAATATCTGTTACATTACCAAATTTATTCCATCAAATTAATCCAAATATTTTTAAATTCATATTTTCACATTAATATCATCGCTAATGATTTAACTTTCTCTATATTATTTACAATTAATTAACGTTTAAAGTCGAAAAGTATAATTCATCTATATATATATATATATATATATATATATCAATATATTAACAATCAACTATCTATTATCAATTATAAATGTATAATAATTCCTAATATACTTTGAATATTCCGTAAAACTCGGATTATAAGAAACTAATACAAAGGTATGCATATATATCTTTTATTTGAACCTTATGATTCCAATATTTTTTTACTAAAATCTAATTTGTATTTCATATTGAATAATTTAAACAATATTAAATATATATAAAAAAAAGAATAGTTTTTAAGCTGTGTAATGTTATTAATGAAAATCATTTAATTTCAATTTATCAATGTATGTGCAAACTATTATAAATTATATTAAGAATTATTTAATATGCATTACAAGATTTTTGAAAAATGAATTGTATACGTAAACGCATTCGTTTGTGCATTATGTATCATTATTAATAAAAATCATTAGATAAAACAATTGTTTAAATAAAAATACCTAATTTAATTACTGATCTATTTTAACATAAGTTTTAAAATTGATATTGTAAAATTGATTAGTTGAATAAGTAACAAAACGTATTTATTTTTTGAAAGTATCCCGAACCTACTTTAATCAGTAATTATAATATTATTATGCAAATAATATTCATGAATAAATTAATTGTATTCATTGTTACAAAAAAAAATTAGATTATATGAGAAAGTATAGTACTATTATGATGCGTTAAAAGTATCATAAAATGTGCATTTATCATATAAAATTATATAATAATAAGTAAGATGATGAATTTATAGGAAATTATATTTAAGTACAAGTTTATTTATAAATTATATCTTAGTATTTGGTAAGAAGGCGTAAAAATAAGCGAACAACGAGATCAATTTTCTATAATGTTTATCATTATATTGCCTAGTGCTCAATAATAAATTCTAACAAATATTTACTCATCATATATACCTAAAGCGACAGACATTTATACATTATACATATAATAATACATA